AGCAGGAACAAAACCCGATGGATTCGGCATGCTGTCCCTCCCATACCCGAAATAATCGATATCCCCCAGGCCTAAAACTTTTCTTGGGTGGAGATGTTTCTTCCACGTGTTTTAACCAGTTAGCAGAGACTTCAGGAATGACTGACTGTAACACACAAAGTTTTAGTACATACTATTTTGATTCAAGAGGCCACAGGCAAAACACATAAAAATATTACTCATTATTTGCTACTTAAAAGCCAAAAGCCTTCAGAGTACAAATCTAACAGCTCTTTCCGTAAAGATTTTTCCTCCAGTGTTGATCTTCTGTTCGACATTAGCTCATGCCCAGAGAGCAAAACTGTCCAAAAGAAGAAAAAAAAAAAATCCCTTTTTCTAAAAAGCCTTTCACAAGTCAAAGGAAGCTTTTGCCCAAGTACACACAGGCAAACAAGATCAAAAGGAAAGCGGGGTTAAACAATCGCTCTCGGTTGTATAATAGGAGGAAAACACATCAATCGTGAGGCCCTACCCATGTTCAGGATCCTGTTTCGGTAGCTGGTGGAAGGACAAACATGTTGAAGAGCTCCTATTGCTTAACCCCTGCAGAATCAGGCTAGAGGGCTCCGCCGCCCAGCAAGGCCGTGCCTTATTCTGGGAAGCTCTTTGGGATGGCTAAAGCCTGGCTGATAGTCCTGGGAACACCGACAGGCATCACACCTAACACTGGCAGCACCTCAAAATCCCACGACGTGAAACGACGCTGCCAGTACCGAGCACAGCACTGCATCGAGTCCTACAGCCCTACGAAATACATAATCGAGAACTGAAGCCGACTGCAAACCTCTGCTTCGCAACTGGAAGCGGCTCAGAGAACACAGTTTGTTGCTGCAGGTTGCTAAGCCACGGCAGTGACTTCTAGGGAAAAAAAAAAACCCAAAATCACACATTGTTTCAGCAACGTCGAGGTCCTGCTCTTTGTTAAGGCATTCTGACAGGGTGGCCCAACCTGGAGCCGCTCACCCAATTCCTGCCACTTCCATTCCGTACTTGTTTCAGATCAAACCCTTCTGAAGCTCAGGAATTCGATCTACAGCGCTGCGAAGGAGCTTTGATGCCTCAGACAGGACTGCCAAAGGGGCAGAAATAATACACCAAACCCCACAGATAAGCAACAACATGGGGCCGACTGGGAGAGCACAAAGGTCGGCACCACTTTTGTGCCGCAGAAGGAAACCTCGTGGCAGATTTCCACCAGACAGCATTATATTCCTCAAAAAATATTTCAAGAGGAAGAGGATGCACTCCTTGACAGGGCTACACCCACACTTCGTCTCCCACCCGGCTGAGCGCCCGTCTGCCTTGCAGAGGCTGCGGTACCCCAGCTGCAGCACCGGGGCGAGACGCTGCCCCTGACCCTCCCAGCACAGGAGGGCTGTCGCCGTCACCGACCACCCCCAGGAACGGAGGGGGATACCCTCAGTCCGGGTGTCGCAACAGAAGCGCAGCCTCAGGTCCCTACACCCCACGTTTATTAGAAATGTTTAAGATCCAGGCAGAAACACACATCTTGGTTTTGTTCTTTCCACTACGAGCTTAGAATATTCTTCCCACTCGCTGCATTTCAACACCGCAAAGACTCTTTTATTTTGCTTGAGCTCTAGACAGAGCTCCTGCCTACCAGGAACTAAACGAGGTCCTGTGACTTGGGGCACGAGCTCCCACTAAAAACCGCTTGAGCCACCAGCTGCCGGGGCAGCAGTTGCCCTCCCCAGCTGTCGCCTGAGCTGACGCATGCCACAAACCCCAGAGATCACGGAGGAATGCGGCGCAGCACGATGCCGCAGCCCGCAGCGCAGCTACGGGCAGATGCAGCAAGACCAGAGGAAGACGTTGCCACCGACAGCCCAGAGGCCGATCCCAGCCCCAGCCTACTTCTGGGGGGCTGCACCTTTCCCATCCGCGATGGGGGAAGACACCGGCGGGCTCTGACTGGGACGGGGCCTCATGCACACGGGCCCCGCACCCATGAGAAGAGGGTTTTCTGGAGAGCATTCACGGCTACAGATAGTGCAGAGAAGGACGCAAGGGTCTGCGAGGCGGGTTTCCCTTCGTTAGATAAGCAGAACAAGCCACTTGTGAGCAGCTGGGGCCATGCCGGAATTACACAGCACAGCTTTACCCCGTGCTGTCAAGCCTTTTATTTGCTGGTCCGTTTCTTACAGTGTCGAGATACCAAGAAAATTAAAAGCATAAATCTGAAGTTAAACTGGTTTATGTTTTGGGGTTCCCCCCCACCCCAGAAACAGCAGACGTAAATCACAGCCGGTAAAGCATCTGGATACACGCTCAGTTATAAAAAGCACCGTGCATCACCACTCCATCAGTAGCCTGTTCCCTCCCAATCCTGCTCCGCCAGAAGCAATGCCTTGTCCCAAAAGACGCCACGTGGGGCAGTTTGTTTAAACAGGGGCAGCGGTGCTGCTCCGGTACCTGGCTGGCAGGAGAATGCCCGGCAGCCACTGCCACCAGCAGCACTGAGAATGGGAGCAGGTCCCAGTTCCTCACTGGGGAGGAGAGGATTCCCAGGAGCCCAGGGCAGAGCCCGGGCCCCTCGCTGAGAGAGCTCGGCCGAGTCTCCACGCTCCCGGTCAGACCCACCTTTGACTATCAGCACTACCGTTGTATGAGCCCAAACCAGCTGCCACACGGACGTCGTAACATAAGAAGACCAAAGAGCTTTTTGCCTTCAGTCTAAAGCATTTGGACGCGAGGGATCTCTTTAGACTCAGCGAATAATCCCATCCTCGCAGCAGAACAGCACGGATCCTATTCAGTAAGAAGTGTTTCCTGTTTTCTGCTGCGAGGAGCCCACACAAGCTGCGAAGCCCCAGCAGTTGGCCAGTCACCAAGCTGACGGATCGGCGAGCAAACGCAGGCAGAGACCGCTGAGCAGCGCAACTCAGAGCTCGCTTTTACCTTTAGCTCTGTTTGAAGTTCGCTTTGCATTGCCTCCGGCTGTCTCTGCAGCCTTTTAGGATGCCTTTCCAGAACTCCAGATTCATCAGTGGGTTTTGTTAACAAAGCACTGTCCCTGCAAGTCACAGGGAACCTCGCTCTTTCAAGAGCGCTCCGGGAATTCCAGTGTCTGCCCTTCTTCTAGAGCACCAAGTGAAATAAGAGATACAGAAATCAGGCAGGGGCAGTTTTTAAGCCAGTCTGGCAGGACTTATTTTAAACCTCTGAAATTTAAGGAAGATCTTGCTATTTCCCTGTAGACATTAATTTACAACAAAGGTCCTTTAACGGCTTTAGAGCAAGAGCTGCATCCTTCACTGTGAACCTGCACAGACCCGCGAACAGCAGGCTGCGATCTCTAAACGGTGATCTAGGTAAACCTGCGGGGGAGAGATCAGGCAGCTACAAGCTGGGAGAACAGCTGTACGTGTTGCACTGTCAGCTGCAACGGGGGGACTCTCAAGACATGCAGAGATCTTTCTTGCGAGCAGAGCAAAACCAAAGTTTTCAGATAAACGGGACTTCAAAGTTAGCGGCAGCAGCCAACTGAAAGCGTATATAAAGCAACACCCCATAAAACTGCTGATGTAACTCTAACTGTTCACGTGTCGGGGCTCCACGTGTGTGGAGGAAGGACTTAAAACTCATCCCCCGTGCACAGGTGGAGAAAGTTCTGAGAGGTACTTGGTTTACCTTCCGTGGCAGAATTCCTCCCTAAGTAGCAAAGAGGCAGGGCTGGGCTGGGTTTGCTCTTTTCAGGGAGACGCTCCCAATGGCCCATCTTTTCCCCTTCCTCTTCTACAGTTTAAAATGTCGTTCTTCGAGGGCCAAGAGCCGCTGCCACGCAGGAGTCATAAGGTCAGACAGGACAGATCTAGCCACAGGGGAGAAAAAAAAAAAAAGGAAGGAAAGATGAGCATGGTAAAAACTGAGGCAGAAGGCTCTGCCCGGCGCTTCACCCCCTCTCAGGGCCCAGATGAAGACACCTCTTTCTCCACACACAAACCCAGGCCTTCAGCCACACAGAAGAGAAAATTGCATTTCCCGAAGAGCCTTTGCAACTCCCCTAAAAAGCCGGATAACCTGTGCAGAAGCCATCGAGCGCCTGCAACACGAGCCCTGTACGCCTCCGATGCAGATACGCGTTCCCCTGGGGACAAGGGTCTCAAGCTGGTCGCAAGAACAGAGAACCACCACCGCATCTCAGACCGCTCCTTACCTTCTCTTCCAAACACAAAAATGTTACACCACCTTGCCTTTTTTTTTTTTTTTTTTTAATTTAAATGGGAACAAAAAGGGTCTCTCCAGAGCCCCCAGCCTGTCTCAGAGAGCTCTCACACATCCCAGCCTCCCCGACAGGCTGAGCACGACCGAGCCGGTGAGCTAAACACCGATTGCCTCCCCACAGCACTTTGCTTCCGAAATTCCAGCCCTCGGCCAGAACTCTGCTCGCCTCAAACCCCCACCTCGCTCCGCCGGCACGAGAGGCCCTTCCCACGGGATTGCTGCACTGCAGGAGCACACCATTCACAGGGAAAGAAACATTTGCCCAGTAGGTAAAGTCTCAGCTTTTAAGTTACACAATTCTGCTAAAAATAGTTTCCCCAAATGCCACCTTAAGATCTTCTGACACAAATCCAAGTTTTTCTTGTAACTCCTTTGCTCACTCTAGCGTTGTAAAAATTGACAGCAGGGAAGCCTGAATCAGAAAAAACTGCTTTGGTTTTATCTGCTGGTCTCAGCAACCAGAACAAAACCAGCTCAGAAACACCCCTGGACTTTACCACAGCGCTGAACCGGGCACGATGACACCCAACGCCACTACAAGCGGCTTTATTATTATTATAACAAAAAACTTTATCTGATGCTGTTGCATTTTTGGAGATTTTTACATTTCTCACTTAAAACTGTATTAGTAAAGACTAAGGCCCTTCCTGTAAGATGAGATGCCGCCGAGCTCAGGTGCTGACAGTCGAAACGAGCAGCACTACACGGCTGCTTTGTGAAACCTCATCGCAAATAAAGCCTTATCCCCATTTAATTACCGACTTCCCTCTACTTCCAGCCAGGCGGGCTGTACGATGCGCTCTGAAGGTCAGGCCTCGGAGAACAGGGAAGCCGCGCGTGTTCCCCACATTCCTTTGTCGGGAGCGACGAGCGCTCTCCTTCCCCGGCTGCTGCGTGCAGGGGGTTCCCCACCCCTCGGCCCGGAGCACCCCGGCACCAATCCTCACTGCACTCCAGCAGCGCCCAGAGGCTGCAAATAATTTGTCATCGGAGCAACTTTCAGCCCGATTAAAGTCTTTCCTTCAAAAGCTGCCAGAAGAGGAGTTGCTGGCGAAGTGCAGGCGTACTTACGACGCTGCATCATCAGGTGAAACCAGCACCTTCGCAGGCCACGGTGGTTTTTTACTCCACCTGTTTGGCCACCGTTTAGCACCGAGCAGGCCAAGCCCCGCCAGCGCCTCCGAGCCCACTCGGGACACCCGAACGACACCCCTCC